AGAGAGAGAGAGAGAGAGAGAGAGAGAGAGAGAGAGAGAGAAGAGTAAAAATGACCATTTTCCATTTACATGATGTCGAAACCGTGTCCATTACCTTTTCAGTTATTAATTTCCAAATTTAGAGCGAGAATATTGATTGCTTGAAATTCGATTCGGAAAATGTCATTCGAATTTTTTCTCTCCATTTCTTTTTCTCGACTTCGAAGGCCATCAATTTCGTCATGGCAGCAGAGAGTAAAAAACTACTTGGGCATTGTTACTACTTTGTTTTTATGACTTTATTTCAGTTTATCTTTATATTCATCACAAAGACACCGAATTCTAATCTAATCCTGACTTCTTAATGAAAAGTGCCGAGGGCCACAAAGAGATATGAATGTTTATCTTTTCTGGGTCCACCTTTTCTTAACTTGATTAATTAATTAGGACTGATGTGAATGTGTGTGCATATGTTTTAGAATGTTCTCTCTCTCTCTCTCTCTCTCTCTCTCTCTCGGGTACCTGAATTCCATCGCACTGTCGATGTCAATCACTTATGGTGTTTTAATGCGAATGTCTGTCGATGACAGGTAGAAAAGCCAATGTTTGAATTCCACTCAATTTTAAAACACACACATATTTTTATTCCAACGTGAGTGGATGGGAAGCACAAGCTTTACGGCTCTTGAATATGTCAAAAATGGTTTTGTTGTGTCTTCATCAATTCAACTCAAAAATTCAATGACCTATTTTACCATTTCAATTATCAGCGCACACCATCGATTCATCCCCGTGCGAGCGCGCATACCCGATAAAATACCGCTCGAACCACTAATGAATATAAATTCGAATCGGCATTTTATCGCGTTGGCTCTATCAGAATACAAAAATTTTCACAAAATGTAATAACAGTCATTCGTGTTCGTCTCTCGCTCTCCATCACCTGGAGCTATGTCGATTCCAATGATACCCCCGCCGACGATAATTGAAAACGATTTTTCTTTCTATCGCCTCACTTTCTATCTCAAATTTAAACTAATAATCACCACTTGCGTTGGTATTGTTTAATGCCAGCAATGAAGCTGCATCGCAGCTCAATTGAAATTGACCAACATTTTCAAGCCACATCCAATAAGGATTTGAATTATCATGTTTGTTTTGGAAATTCGACGAGCAATTTTTCTACAAATGAAATCCATGTTTTTATTTTTGTAAATTCAAATGACATCGTTTATCAATTCAATGTATCACTTTTATTCAGATTTTTCTATCAAAAGAAAACAAAACCCAAAATAAAACAAAAGAAGACTGACAAAATATAAACAGATAGAAAAACTCTTATCATACAAGGTAACATTTCTCTTAAATCCTTATAGAACCTCGCCCGTGCCATTCGGTTTTCTTCTTGTTGATATTCATCCATTTTTTCTTTCATTTTTGAGATACGTTTACGAAAAGCCAGAGCCTGTCCCAGATAGGGCGCAAGTGGTGCGCTGCACCACGGCGCTGGGGCGCCGAAGGCGCGTGAGCGCTGAAATTTCTGCAAACTGGCAGAAAAATTGGAGCGCTTGAGCTTAATTGCTTAAATTTTCCGAAAATACGTAGAAAAATTCAGGCGTCGAGAGCGCCGAATGCACCAAAAGCATTTGATCAGATTATATATATTTTTGAAATGACATAAAAAATTTGGCTAGCGCGCCTTCGTTTTGAGACAATTTTGAGTCTATTTTATTTCATCTTAAGAAAAGGGCGCCCTGGCAATTTCGCACCAGGACGCAAAGAGCGCACGGACAGGCTCTGCGAAAAGCACGAGTGTCCTTTGCTAAGGCTGTGATCTCACTCTGACACTCATACAACTCATGTGTCACCTGTTCCATTTGTTCTTCTTCTGGTTGAATTTCCATTTGTTCTTCCAATTTCGAGATACGTCCACGTAAAAAATCGATGTCCTCTTTTAAGGCTGTGATCTCACTTCGTATCATCTAGAAAAATGCAAATGGTTCAATGATGAATTCAAAGTTTTTGAACGAAATACGTGTACAATAACCATAAAATGGAGTCTTTTCAAAACACTGCAAACTTATTTCTAATCCATTTTAATTTTTTTTTACAATTGAAAAACCAAAGTGTGTATACATTTGAAACGAAGTTTTAAAAAACGAACCTTTATCCACTTTTGATAATGAATGTATGTTGAATATGGATGTGAAATATTGCAATAACGACCAATAACAAAATATGTTGAAGAAGACACTTTATGTTACATTCATTCACATGTACCTTCTGACGAAAAAAACAACAAAGTATACATTGACAACCTATGTGACCTTTGAACGCCAATTTTCACCTGTCATCCCCTGCGTTTCATTTTTACAATTGTGAATTCGAAACAATTCAACCAATGTTCAAATGGAATTGCATGGAACTCAATGTAGAGATTTGCAACGATCTTGATTTTATGCCAAGCTAATTAGTTTTTTTTTTAAATAAAAAATACACTTGTTTCACCCTTTTGAATAAAAAGGTCAATATTTATTGAATGTATGAACTTTGTACAATGTTCCCATCTGTTTTCTATTTGAATGCCAGCTTATAATCAACGCATATGACCAAACCAGAAAAAAAGTGCATACAAAAGGTGATACAATATAAAACAACAAAGTCAAAATTTCTTTTAAGAGATCTATTAGTTTATCGAAGTTTGATTTAGCTTTCGTCTGGCCCTTTGTCGTTCCTTCTCTCTTTTAATTTCCATTTGTTTTTCCAATTTCGAGACACGTTTGCGAATGAAGTCAACGTCTTTTTGTATCACTGTGATATCACTTATAGCCATCTAAAAAGTTCAAGTGGTCTAATTATTCATGACTTTTTTTTATATAATTTTCGACCAAAGTTTCTATATATTTCAGAAATTGGAAGAAAACAAACAAACCTCGTTTTGGATTATGTGTATTATCGTTTGTATTGAATATGAAATCAAATATTTCAATTTAAATTGTAAAGCGTTAACTAACACGTCTAGTGCAGATAGAAGTTTACATAGAAATAAAAAAAACCTTAGAATTTAAATAATTTTTTGTTTGGTTGGCTGTTCTGCATATGGAAACCTGAACATTCCAAAAAAAATCCACACATCTTCTGTGTTAAAGGCTAGTTTACAATTTAATAAATAATGATATGTGCAGCCAACGTCATACCGAAATAGTCCCTGTTCCACTTCAATGGACTATCAACATTTTGTAAACTGAATATTACGAAAAATTAACTCAATTCACTTTATCATATGTGTTTTCTATAATTTATTTTAAAATAGAATTATTTCACAATTAATTACAGAAGTAAAAAAATGTAATTCTTATTACTTTATTACCTACTTATTACTGTAATAAGATGACCTATTACTTATTAGTCATCTTATTACTTATTACTAGGCCTCCCAGATCGATTTCAGCTCAAGTCGGGAATTGTGTAGCTCCAAAGCGGGAAAAATGAACCGAAATCGGGAATTTTCCAAATTCAATGAATTTAACATAAATTTGGCCGTAAAAGCGAAAAATTCCCGAACAAATTGGGAGAAAATAGAAATAAATGATATTTGCAACCTAAAAACATTTATTTTACGTCACAAGAAAAAAATAACTTTTATGTAATTTTCGCATTTTCAACTTGAAAATTGACAAAAAAAAGACATACTCTGAAAATTAACTCGTTCTCCCAGAGTTCTTTGTATCTTTGTAGAATCTGGGCTAAAGGTGGCAAAGGGACAAAATTTTTTCGTCCGTCCGTCCTTTTATTGATTTGGGACAAACGGACATTTGTCCTAATGTCCCGTTTCAAATTAGGACGAATGGACAAATTTTTAAAATGATGTACAACACTTATGAAGTGATGAAGAAAAGTTTCATACAAAAATCATGTCAAATTTTGCAAGACACATTTTTCCAACATTTTTTCGTCTGACAAAAATTGACATGTTTTTTATTACATGAAACTATTTTTGCGATTTTTTTTTGCACCAAAAGTAATAAGATACTCATTACAATCTTATTACAATCATCTTATTACTGTAATAAGATGGACTTATTACTTATTACAGTAATAAAATGAAAGTAATAAGTAATAAGTTACTTATTACTTTACTTCTATACAATTAATCGCCGTAAAAATTCTGACATGATCATTTTTATTGATGCATTAAAATGCTCGAGTACTTTTTCATTATATTTGCTTTTCTGCTGCTAAATCACGCAGTATTTTTTTGAACGTAAAACTATCGATTTCATTCTTAATGAGAAGAAGTATGAAACAATTTCCAGAACTTTTGAAAATTTTGCTTTTGAACCATTCTTTGAAAACTGTTCGATTCAGATCTAACAAATCTAAACGAAAACTGTAACTGATTTTGAAACAAAATATGAAGAAGATAGCGGATAAACTAATTAAGAGGTTTATCAACAAAATCCAGATCGCAAACACACATAAAGTTCGGAAAACCAAATTAAAAGGTAATGTGCAAATCGCCCTAAGACCGCTTAATGCTCCAGTATGATATAATGAAATATTAGCGATGGTGGGGAAGGCGACACAAATTTGATCCATACCTTTTGAGGTCACTGGAGGAGGAAGGAACATCCAGATATCACTTGACATGTGATGAAATATGTAAATGTTTACAAGAGATTAATTTTAAACAACAGTCTTCAAAAGATGAATTCATTTTTTTCTCACTGATGTAATGAACTGGGCAATAATGCTAAATGAAGCCGCAGAAAATCAATTTGTGCGTTAGCCGGCTGAACAGTCACTGAAATAAGAAACAATCCATTTTGAATGCTGTGTGAAGCCTTCTTTGGTAAATGCAATATCTAGAACAAACGAAAAAAATTAAGTAAAACGTGTCAATAACGGAACCTGGGAACAGTGGAAATCGTGTCAATAGTGGAAAAAAAATTTGGCCGTGGAGCTCTCCCATACAAATTGACAATATACCCTGAAAAAGTCATTTTACCCAGATTATTAGTTAAACGTTCGGCTAGATTTCCATCAAATGACATCCAAAGTGCTGATGATATATATGAAATGATTGCCAAGGCAAGAAAGTAATATTGTCCAACGAAAAAATGATGGTGGTCTTTACGGTACGATCGTTCTTCCGTTCCATTTTTATATTCATCACAATCCAAGTCCCTTGAACCTTCGGAAAAATACAATGCCTGCTAACAATTGACTTTTATACCTGTCAAAACGTTCGCAGCGCCGCAGTAGTCGTTTTTGTAATGTAAAATACATTCGAAAAAAATTCAAAAGAAAAAAATCATAACGAAAATTTTTCATTCCCTTTTGTGTGGATCTTCTTCGAATACAGTAACATACACACCGTTGCTGCAAGAGCATTACGACACCTTGTGGCACCGATAGTAAAATCCTATGTGTTACAATGTATTTTTCAACACATTACAATCGGTGCCACCAGGAACGCCTGTGGTATATTGCTATTGCAGCAACCTTGTGGTAACATACTTGAGCATTGCAGCGCCACTATAATCGCAAAACCAACTGTGTTCGATGCAGACAAATTGTTGTCGTATTTCCATACGATTGACAGAATGCTGTTACCCATTTCAAAAATATCAAAATGTGTCCATTTTTAGCACTACATGTAATTGTTGTTTATTTTCTCGATTTTTGAATTTTTTTGTTTTTTTTTTAAATCATCACGAACTAGACGTGTTGTGTTATTGTCGAATATTAGCATTTGCCAAACTTATTGTCATTTATGTTGTCTTCGTTTATGGTATGTAGTGTCGAGAATTAGAAAAAAAAATCACTAAAGACATCAAATTGTTATCGTTGTTCCATTGTGTACTTTGTAAAAATCATTCCTGCGAGTTCCAGTTGTTTTTACTCTTTATTATTGCTACCTAAACGCAAAATATTTATCAAGAGAAATACATAGAAAAATGCCTCCTCATACCATACAGAGCTTTGTTTGAAGGCAAAAAACCAATTAATTCGCTCCATGTACACAGCGATAATGTTATGAAAATAGTGCGGCGTTCAATTGGAAATAGGAACAAGTAAAAAATAATACCAAAAAAACGAATCAACTTTTTTTTATGTAATACACAGTCGAGCTTCAGTCAATTTCGTATTATCTCATTTCAAATAAATGTAATTCACAGACAAATGAGAGACGATAGTGTATTGTAGAAGGATCGTAATTATCCTGTTCGCAGCGCCAGTGTAGTGGGTTTGTTAGGTGAGAGTGAAAAATAATGCTTGTTTCAGTTTCAGCATCAACTTTATTCTGATTCTTCTTCACCATAGGTTCTGACATAGTCTGATCTCGTTGATCCTGACCCCCCTGGCAAAATTTGACCCCCAACGATTTTTTTGGACCCGTTGCCATTTTCGGACCTTTTTTGTTGTTTTAGACCTCACTTTTTTCTGGATACCGGTTTTACACTAGATAGAATCGATTTTTGAGAGCGAGGACCTTTTTTTTTTTTTTTGCTCTTCAAATTCGAAATTGCGGATCAATTTTTTTCGGGAAGAAATTTACACTAGATAGAATTGATTTTTTTGACCCCCCCTTGAATTTTTGGCTTGACCCCCCCTGAATTTTTTGGTGTCAGAACCTATGTTCTTCACATTTCATAATTGTCATTAGCGGGTGTCGCATGCGCATCGTGAGATGCGGTGAGCATGCGACACCGTTGGAGAAATAATGAGTAGACGGGTCGCACAATTATAATTATAATGACGATCCGTCTACAGTATATTTATTTTATCCATATTTCAGCTTTGGCTCGTGACGCCGTTTTGGTAAACATATATCCATATATATGTATATGGCTGAAGCATGCTGAGAGATGATACGGTTTTTCTGAAGAATTTGTTATTTTTCGGTTGCTTTTAATTCATTATAATGAATATGCCTTTCGAATTCACGCGGATAAAATGGCAGATTCACCGCATAGACTTTTACCCGAATGAATTAGATGGCATTTATCATTTTCTTTAGACAAAGCGAAACATGAATGCGACATTTCTTTGAGTGATGAAACGAAATTTGAAAATGCTAAAATCAATTGATTTGAATCGATTTGAATATTGTCGTAAAGCGAATATTGAATAAAATTTAAAGGCGATAAATTAATATTTGCTCACCATGTTGCACACAGGTTTATAAACCATTCGATGAACAATAGTTTTCAATGAATCCAGGTGTAATGTTTATTGCTTTGTTACTTTTTGACAATTGATTGATTGTTGATTGCCAAAAAGCATTAGAAAAACAGCAAAAACAATAAATGTCAATGACATACAACGGCAATAGTTATTTATTGTGTATTTTTTTTTGAGGAAAAAAATCCAATAAAAACTTCGGATCAAAATGTATCATTTGGTTGATAACTGATGAGATGTGACAAAAATGAGCGCGATGACTATGACTCTGCTTCTGCAACGCATCCCATTTGACAGTTGATAAGAGCCTATCAATGTGGCGCCAATGAGTCATTGTGGTGATACCACAGAAACGTTTTTGACATTGTTGTCGTTTATGCAACATAAATTGAGCTGTCAGTCAGCTCGAATTATCAGTGAAAGACGTCTTATTCTATGGACTTTTTTTATAGCGAAAAATCATGGCCTCTCAACCCATCCATATGATGTTGCAATTAAAAAAAGAAAAAGAAAATGTGTCAAAATCAACGAAACTAAACAATTAAACTTATTGTTGCTTTCAGTGCCACCAAAACGACCAGAAATCAAGATAAACACCGAATTGCATCGAAGCTCTTTCGAAATTGATCAAGATTTCCAAGCCACATGCATCTCGCGCGACGGCCGACCACCTGCAACACTTCAATGGTTCCTCGATAACGAGCCGATTGTCGAAAGTATTTCAGCACCACGCATCGTTCAAGATTCGTTAATTGGCCGTAACACCACCTTATACACGGTTAGCATTCAACTCAATCGTCGCCTGCGTGCCAGTGATGATCGCAAATTTTTAATTTGCCGCTCAACCCATCCAGCTGATCAGCCACAAGAAGATCGATTCCAGCTTAGTGTCCGATGTAAGTGTTGAAATAAAAAATTACTCAGAAATGATTTCGTAACGATTGAACCTCAAGTGTTTGGCGTTTTGGCCATGAATTTTTGTTTTCTAAGAAACACCAATATCTGTCTATTTCCATAGACCGACCACAACCACTGCAAGAGAACCGTGTATACGGTTTGCCTTTGGGCGCAACAGCACTAGTCAACGTTACAATTACGGCCAATCCACGTCCCCGCATCGAATGGTCCATTGATGGTTTGCCAATTGCACAGGGCCAACAAAATAGCCGCTTTGAAGCGTATCAACCCATCGATTTGGGCAACGGTACTTACAATGTTACACTCGCCATTGCCGGTCTCACCGTCGAAGACACAACAAAAACCTACTACTTACGAGCATCAAACGAATTCGGCTCATCCGATTACTCGGTGTACATTAGCTCATCGCCGCACGTGGCTGAAACTGGCATCGATATCGGATCAATTATTGGCATCATCGTTGGCGTTGCTATTCTATTAGTCATTGTGTCAGTGATTGTATTCGCCCGTGCCACTGGCAAATGGTGCTTTTCCGGTAAGTTTGCATTCATTTAATTGGTCTGTCCCTAACCGACAACAAACAAAAGCAAAAACAACTTACTTTCCTAATGATTTATCTGCATAATGATCAGGGCCAATGTTAACTGATTAAAAAGACCTTTCGATAATTATATTCGAGAGCCAAGAAAAAAAAATGATCCCAAATTTGTTATTAATTATCAATGAAAATGAATGAATATATTTGTGTCGGTGATTAGATAGGTCAATTTTTGTAACTAAATAGAATTTTAATTGAAAGGAAAAACCATTTGTGAATTTTTGACATTAACAAACATTATTTTCTATTTTGCGAATGTATGTGAATCTATTTTCTCATTGCACACAGACAAACATATCAAGTCTAAAGCAACCGCAACTGTTTAAATACATAAACAATCAAAAAACACACACACACAAAACCAAACATCTAACAAAACAAAAAACAAACAAACAAAAAATTGTGGTCCAATGAACTATCGTCATCCATGTGAGTGTCAAAAAATGACGTGAATAACTGAAATTTTTTTTTGCTTAAAGATAGCTATATTTTTGTTTGCTCTCTATACTTTTTACCCCGTTTGTTTACCGGTACTTTGTGTTGTTTTTTGCATGGAAATCATCCAAGTGATTTCCTCTATATATATATATATTGATTTTGACCATTTTTTCTTCATCATATAAGTTAGGTAAATTCATAGATCCATCAGATAGATAGATTCATTTTAGTAAAGTAGTTCATAGCACAAACGGGCCGTATTATCATAGAGTAGCTCATATATATACATATATAGTTGAAAGTTGAATAGAAAGTAAGCCAATTGTTCGTTGTTCTGAAATTTTATTTGAAAAGAAAAAAAATCGCATCTTCTGAAGTTGAGGTGTAAGGTCAAATCATATCAGTTTGCTTTGATTTTCCATTTGCCATTTTCTATTCTGTTAAATTCATTTTGAAGGAAGAAACGCAATCAGTGTTTTATAAAACGTCGTTTAGACCCATTCTCACTCTCAGAGAAAAGTCACTTAACTCAATTGAGCTGCTTGGTAATCGGATTAACATTCTATTCTTCGGAACGAGAAAGTGTTCCGCAACTCTTTTCCAAACTTAATTATTCGGATCGATAGTTCTTTAGTCACCTTTCCAAGAGCGAAACACACACACACACACTGCCATTGCCTGCCTTCAAAACCATTAACATATTTTATACAGAGAGTGAATCTCACTTGAAAAAGCAATTTCGAACAAAGAAAATGTGACTCGTGCCACTGTACCGGTGTGGTAATACAGAGAAGTGAGTTGAGACACAGTGCGAGAGAATTTTATTTATGCGAGACTTTGAGGCAATTTGCCCTAAATCACTGGCGCAACCCACCATAAAACTTAAAAACTTCCTGTTTGAGTTGTCACATCCATAAGCGTTTATGTGATATCCGAACAAATTAAGTCGGAATCGATATAGTTATACCCATACACCGAGTAGAGATTCATGGTACATTCACACCATACACACATCCAATAGCTTCCGTTTTATTTTTCGATATAATATTTCTCATTCGTTTCCACTCGTTGCTCCGGTTCAAAATCCCCAAGTGATACCCAAGATAAATATGCATTATTATGTTTGTTGTTTGGCCGTGTGCGCCTTTCACCGCATCAATATCTATATATTGGATGGCTCTCTTTTGTGTACACAATCGCCTATACTATAAGTTTTCATATTATTAAAGTTTCTCGAATCACAAAATGAAAACGGAGAGAGAGAGAGAGAGGTATAGAGCAAACTCAGTAATTGTTGTGCTGTATGAGCCAAAGTTTTGCCGATATGACCCCCTCCGTGTCCATATACATTCACTTGAACGGTATTATTCTAGGTTCGTCTGGTTGAGAACCGATAAAATAATCCACGATTGAAAACTCGCTGCGCATTACAAGCAAACGACCGGACACACACTGGGTAAAGGTGAAAAAAAACAAAATCAATGATAATGTTGAGTTCGAATAATTCCTCATTTCGTTTTTGAACACAGTTGAATCACCCGATTGATTCATATCTTGGAAACGAAAATTGCTACCTGAGTTACAGAGAGTCGCCAAACAAACACATGTTTTCCATCGCGTAAATAGTTATTAGATTGGAATCAACTCGCACGCTTGCCAATAAACCCGATGCCGATCTAAACGTTTAGATCACACCGAATAGATTTCATTCTGTCAATAGCTTTGCTATTCGCCGTCACTTTTTTTTGCTTCCAACAGTCGCACATACTTTTATTAATTGATTCACATTTTTCCGTTCTTGCTAAATAGCATGCACAACGCAAATGCCACTATCGAATATATGCGATTTCAAAGAGCGCAAAAAATGCGAAAAAAAGTACGACCAAGCGACGCTACAAAACGCACATGTATTTAATGACATCAGTTAATGTCGTTCGCGAATGAAAAAAATACAAGACCGAAATTTTTTTAATTGTATTACATGCTTTGATGCCGTCGAGCTAAGCTGAGCTGAGCCAAGCGGCAGCTCGACGGCTCCAATTTGATTGCAATCATCTGATAAATTAAACGATTTTATGTGTAGTCGAGTTTCTTATTCTCTCACCCTATTTACACTCAGCACGATTATTATTAGTTTCATATTGACAAAACTAGTGAAGAGTTCGAGCGAGCGCGCGCGCACGCTCGTCTCTCCTTGTTTGGCTTTGAACTGGGAAATTTCCCTTTCGATATGCGTGCCAAAGACATATTGTGCACGATTCGCAAGACTATGTCTTTTCATTAGAATTGAAAGCCCCTTTTCATTCATTAACTCTGTTTACTTAAAATGTGTGTATTTCGCTGCATGAATTTTTTCTCTCTCACAAAGCAATAAGACTTGTTTTTGTAACTCTTTGAAATTGTTTGCGTTTCCTTTGTTCGCCCACTTCGTATCGGAGAAAAAAAAACGCGAATTTTTATCGACCAAACGAAAAAAAAATTTCTCGCGGCGCTGCGTTTTTCTGCCGCCAAAATATCACCGTTAAATAAGCGATTGAACAATTTTCAGCAAATGTAAACATGTAATCACGCTCTGTGCCGCTTCTCGTAGCCAATTTTCTCCCCTGAATTCCCTTCAAAAGACGATAATTATTTTAAAAGCATTTCATGTATCGTTTTTCTATATATATTGCGCGATGCGTCTATGCTGGCGTCGCTGTGCGAGCATTGCTATATTATGTTGGTATTATTTTTATCGTTTATTATTACATTTTCAACGTTTTAAATTAATCATATTGAAATTGATTGTGAAGACGCTAGACCCTGAAAACGCCTTGCAGCGTATGAATGTGCCCGTGCATGCTATTTCAAAATGTGTTCTTTCACCTTTCGCATGTGTTTTTATTTTACTTGTGTTTCTCGGCATTTTCTGTTGTGTTCCGTTTGATTGCGTTGCGTTTCAAGCCCGTGTTTTGTTTTTCAATGTTAAATATATGCCGTTGCTCCTCATGCTATTTTCGGTCTAACCAATTGTGTTGTGGCCGGGGCTGCTATATACGTCTAATTGCGTATCTATTTATTGTCCTTATGCCGCCTCTATTATTCATATACGAAATGCCGCTATTCACGCAGTGTGTTAAAATGAATTATTGTCCAGTAGACAAATTGGAATTTTGATTTGTGGCCAACCGTAGACCAGTAATTTCTGAAATATATGCATTTCCTCACTCTCTCTCTCTGCTCTCGCTATAAGATAAGTATTGAATTATTATATATTTCTAATAACGGTATTTTACGTTAAAAATTTTAGTATTTTTTTCCTTTCATTTTCTGGCCATTTTTCCGTTCAAAATTCAATTCCTTCTCTCACTCTCTCCCATGTTTAAAAGCAATTTTCTGTTTTGTTTTCCGATTGTTATCCACCATTTTCCGTTTGACCGCAGCCGAATGTGGTGTTTGTGTTGTTGTTGTTTTGTTTTATGCCGTAGATGTATTCGTCGAGTTTTTTTTATTTCATTTGATTTTCTGTTATTTAGTTGAACTGCTCATTTATGGTAGTGTTTAGGCGTAAGATGTGTTCTTAGAATTGAAAATTTACCTATTCATTGCTCTATCACCCACAAGTTAGACTGTTTCTCCCTCTCTCTCTCTCTCACTTACACACACCTTAAACACTCACACACCCACACCGTTCAACATCAATTTCATAACCAAAAACTGTGTAATATTTGCAGGTGCCTCAGTAAATACTGACATTGGACCCGATTCAGAAGCACAAATTGCACCACACCACGACGATTATGAAGATAAAGAATACGATCATGAAACGGACGAACGGCATGCGGAAACTCAGCATACGGAAAAAAATGAAAAAACACAACAACAACAAGCACAACAGCAGCCACAACAGCGAAATGGCAACGAACAAAAGACCAACACACCCGTTTAACTTTAGCGTCACCTCATCAAGACACATTCGATAAAAACAAAACGAAAAAAAAACACAAAAATCAATTAAATATGAAACAAATCAAGCTCACTAGTTTAACGAATGATAATAAAAACAACTAAATACATCAACAACTAAAAAACCGGCAGATAAGACACACACTAAACAAAAGTAAAGAGATGGACAGATAAAGGAACCATCATAATTTGAAAGTAAAACTCGAAAAAACGACAGCGAAACTGTTGTTGTTTTTTCGTCGATAAACGCTAACGAGAGAGTTTTTTCGAGAATTGAACTGAGCGGAACAATGAAAATGCGTCAGCATTTATCTATAGACTATGTAAATGACGCGTCGTGATAAAGATTTCATGAAATGCGTTGTTGCTGTTGTCGTCCAGTGTGTTTAAAGAAAACAAAGTGAGAGATTGAAATGTCGTGTCACTTTTACTGCCAATAGATAGTGTATTGTCGTAGTGATTTCTTTATAATAATATTCAACAAACTACTTGATTGTTGCGCACACGGGAGCGCCACCGATGAAATCTTGATTCGATCGGCGACACTTCTGTTTAGATCAACGATTATTTTTTCTGCTCTCCTTTCCACTCTCGTTTTATGGAAATCAACCCGAAGCATCGCACACATTTCTCAATGGCACAGATTTAAAAAAAGCAGTAAACAAAGAGCCGAGTGCAAAATGTCGCCGTGACTAATAATAAAATATCATTAAGAATTCGCATTGTGTGCGCAAAAACAGCTATTTTCTTCTTTCGCTGGCTTTTGTTCGTTGCTTGACTACGTACATTCCGCGTGTGTGTCATCTTTTTAGTTGTTGCTTTTAGCCGAAAAGTATAAACTATAGAAATATTTTGTCTTGTGTATGTTCTCATAAATAAATCGCGTACTAATAATAGAAGTTGAAGAAAAAACTATACAAAAACGGAACTCTTTGAAAAAGATATCGTTAGCCCAATTTTTCCTTTCTCGCATTTTATAATTTTTACCATTAGAAACGAATTTTAAGACTAAAACCAACAAACACGAACCGTGTCTCACGCACACACGTGACACACACCAACAAAAGTAGCTGGAATAACCCGCTCTCGTATGGTTTTGTGTTCGACATTCGAAAACAGCCTGCGGACCTATGGTCGCGACAGCTTTAAGAAAAATCATTTTAAAAAAATTCCAGTTAGAAATTTAAGTCAAGCAAAATTTTTAAAACAAAAATTCATACTTGTTTGCGGATTGAAGAAAAAAAAATTTTTATTTCAAAGAGAGATTCCGTCCTACGTTAAATTCAAGTCTTTCTGTCTTTCTACCGAAACTCATGCCTTCCCCGAATGAAAATAAATCGCGTCTAATCGCACCCGAACATTCACTTTTTACCGCTTAGCACAATCACACGCTTACACTCTCACACACACACACATGTACTTCCTTTCCGATTTACTTTTGCAAACAATTTGTATAAGCCAAAACCAAACCATTTTCTATTTTCGGAGAAAAAGAATTAAGCCCATTTTAACAGCAGATAAAAATCAAAGCAATAAAACTGAATCACACACACACAAAGCGCTACAAATATTATAATCGTATTTTTGAATCACTTTCCCGCCTTTAATAACCTCTATCTCTGTGTAAAGTTCCGAGAGAGGAAGACAAGAAGAGAAGAAAAAAAAACAGAAATCTTCTTTAATATATTTAATTAGTGTTAAACGGAAAGCAACGGTATGAGCTAAATATCAAGTTTTGTATTTTAAAACCATTGCCATTAATAAATAATAACGCGCAAGCAAAACAAAACAAAAATGAAGAAAAACAAAAAGAAGAAGGAGTAAAAAATCGAGAAAAAATTAATGATTTTACATACGAAACATATAATATGTGGAATGGATTTGAAAATAAGCGCAGTAGAGTCGGTTAGTTGTGTAGCATTTAGACTTAGTAATTTAAAACGACGAGCAACAGAGAAAAAAAGAGAAAGAGACAGAGAGAATAAACAAAATAACGATAAAAATGAAACAAATTGCAGACAGAAAAAAAAGTAAATGGAAAATGAAACCAACTTATATGTATTTTACATTTAAACATTAAACGATTTTAATTTCTTAACCGTAAGAGACATAATTTATAAATTATAATAAATGAAAAAAAAATTGAAATAATAATAATGAACAAAAAAAAAAACAACAACCTGCATCAAATCCCGCAAAACGAAAATGAGAAAAAGAGAACGAGAAAAAAAACATGAAAACAGAAAAATTGTGTAAGCCAAAACCAAAACAGTTTTAGTCCGGTTCATTTTGTCCCAATGTTCACACTCGTTTTTTTTTTCTTCTTAAATCACAAAATTGAAATGTGGCAATCGCCAATTTTAAATCCGCCGTAAATAATTTGTGTTTACCGTAACCGAAGTGGAAAATGAAACAAATCACCATCATCAAAAGACATTTTTACTAGATTAGATACGAATCTCCAATCCAATCTCTATTTTTGTACATGCCGTAGATAGAAAACCATCTCTGTGTCAAATCTTTTTTGAGGAAAAAAAATTGTTCAATAAAAACCAACAAAGTTTTTTTTACAACAAAAACCAAATCGATGTTGAATTTTCTTGTCGTGAATGAAAAACAGAACCAATGAAGTGAGCGAGTCGAACACATGATGACTGTAAATAATTGAAACAGGTCGATTATTCGCAACGATGCATAAAACGAATGTCAATTGATAAAATTGTTCTTGTTTAGATGCACACAATGCATGAAGCGCCCACAAAAGCACGCGACATCACACACACACACACACACACCGAATGCTTTCAAGATCAGTGTCACCTTCAGACTTCCGAGACCGCACCGAAATTCTATTCAATTTGCCCGACAGAGGAAAAAAAAAGTGTTTTGTGTAAATAGCCTTCAGTCAAATGTTTTCAATTTTCGCGCGCACCGAAACAATGAAGCGGTAATTATATCTCATTGTAAAGACAAATACCATTTTGTGCAAACATTTACTTGTGATGAATCCAATTTTGGCGTTGAAGAGGTAAGACGTAGTCTCTATGTTTTGTGTACATACAACGGCGTATTGTGCAAGTTGAAATTGAATTTGAAAAGACATAGTGCAAAAAAAAGTGTAGACTCACGAGCCGTTTTTTTCCCTTCGTCTCTTCACTTCATCATTTCAATTAGATATAGTGAACCAATAAAATGCACGAACCCAAAAATTAATGCACAATTCACGTTTTTCCAATCAACAATTGAAAGAGAGAGAAGGAGAGAGAGAGAGAGAGAGAGAGAGAGAGAGAGAGAGAGAGAGAGAGAAATGAAAATCATCGACACTTTGTTTCAGTGTCGAACAGCACACAACCCATATCGCACACACTTATTCACGCCTCTACCAACACACTTTGGCCGAATCGAACACACAATACTATGTATTGCATGTTTCGACATTTACCAATTAGCAAATATCTCATGACTGACATGTTGGCTTTGTCTATTTCTATTTCAGTCTATCAATATCGAATATACGGTTGAAATTTCGCCATTACATATTTCCATTCAATGAACAGTTTCACTGTGTAAATTCAATAAGCACAGAGTGACCATATATTTACTACGGAAATATCAATGCCCTAAAAATATGAATAAATCGACATGTTGTTGTTTGTCGTTTTGTGTACGACTCATCACGAACGCGTATCGCTCGCATAAGAATGCGCAAGAATCTGTTCCAATTCCTCAAATCAACTATCATTATTCAGCTGTTCACTTTTTATTAGCGAATTGAAATAAAGCAATCATATCAAATGATCTAGAGAGCCAGCAACAACAGCGTCAGCACTAGCAACAGAAGAGAAAAAAAACAATCTATGTTCGTGTAATTACTACTATTAGCTCTATTAAATATGATATTCTGTACGAAAAAAAAACCCAGATATTAGCTAAGCGTGCTTTTTGCACATCTCCCATACATTTAATTTGTACGTTTATTATTTTCTCTTTCTTCCTCGATGCAAACACAGAAATGTTGTGTGCTAAATAAACATTTTGTATACAAAATCAAACAACGGTCAATTGTTTCAATTTATTATATTTTGGTGTTGCTGCCGTTGTTGTTGTTGTTGTTGTTTTGCCAATCGCATTTTTTCGGGTCGATCACACATTTAATAGATGAAAAAGCAACATAAAACAGCATGCCTAGAAAAACAGCCGCGGTGATTTAGTGGCCATAATGAGGCGAGACGCGTTGAGCTCACACTCGCCGAGAGTGAAAACATTAATCATTTTGCGAGAGATCGATCGATTGATCAAACAAATCAGTTCACAAATGGTTTTCCGTTCAACTTCGAAAAAATTTGATTCGAAATTGCGTGTCTAAGCACGCGTGTGCCTAGATAGAGAAAATAATGTAGAGTCTGCTTTTTTTCCCTTCTTATTCAATTTCAGGCCGAAGTGACGAAAAACATACAGCTGGTGAAACGTAAGCATATTTAGAAATGAAAGAAAAAAAAACCCATCACGAGCCATTGACTTTCCCAACTCGCCACAACAATTACCTGTGATAACAACCTAAATAACAATTGACAAAGTCAATGGCACGGCGCTTACAATTGTGCTGAATCAGTTTTATAAGTAATGTTTCTTTTTTATTTCATTCGGTTTCTTCTCTTTCTTCTTTCTTTTCGATTTGGTTGCGAAATTTTATGCGGAATAAACGAATCAAACGAAACAGAAGTGACACAGAAAGTCATACCGATGTGAATAAGAGCGAGGGAAAAAGCAGCCTGATGATTCGTTTGAATAACTTATTCAAAAAACATTCAAATAAACCGGAAGCACCGTCGCAAACGGACGCCGAAGACGGTAAAGTATCACATGACGATGAAGACAATGCCGCACCGAGCGAATCGACCGTTATCATCGATGACGAACCACAAAAGAAGGTAAAGAGGTTTTTGTTTTCGGCTCGTTAAACAATGCATTGGTCCTTATCGCTGCATTATGAACTATCGTTTTTTATCACACTTTTTGGAAATTTTTCGGTCGTTCTTTTTAGATTCTTCATTCATTTCCGAAAATTTTTAGTTTTTTTGTGATTCTTCATTTTGAAATTCTTCGTAGATTAAAACCCAGTCTTTGAAGTTCTTCGTTCGAGTTTTTTTTCCTCAAAATTCTTCGTTAGCTCTTTGAAATACCCAATTTTTTCGTCTTGTAATTCTTTATTTGTTGATAAAAAAAAAAACAATCATGACCTTTCATTGTTCTAGGATGAAAAGAATTTAGTCTACGCTGAATTGGTCTTAAAGCAGTCTTCCGACGACACCGATGCCAAAATTCCGAAGAATACAACCGAATATGCGGAGATAATCTACAAGCCAAATGAAGATAAAACAAAAACTGACCCAAAATAAGAAGAACAACAGCAAAAAATATGAACGTCAATTACTCATAACAAATTGTGCCTTACCCTTGTACATCGACTACGCATTAACGAGATATGAAATGAGCATTGGAAGATGTAAATCGATTTCTCTGATATGTATTACAAACTGGAACAAGCAAGTCATCATAACGATGTTTTTTTCTTTGTTATTCGCCCAGAAACACACATGTTCTGTAACGCACAATTCACACGCATTTACTTTCATCAAAGCAATTCCACTACACAAATTCGTCATATGATTTTTTTTTTCTTCTGTTCGTGCACATCCATTTGATCGGGTTGAGTGAAGACAAATACTTTTATTTCGTAAGCGCAACAAGTAGAATTAAGGAATTTTTGTGCTATGTTCCCCTTTAAACTTATACTTATGTAGATTATGCTGCTGTATGTTTGTGCTATGCAGCAAAAATCGGGCGTAGTTTTATCTATTCCGTACCATTCACTTAAAAAGCCTTGAACTTTGGAGCAATTCAGAACGGCAACACAGAAGCAGACAGAAAAAACACCATACATTTAAACGAAGTAGAAAAAAAAATTGTCACATGCGTACAAAATAGAAAATATTTTATCTGAAATAAGACACTTAATCGCTATTTGTATATGTGAAATTATGGAATTTGTTAGACATTTTCCATTTTAAGTTCGATTCTTTTGTATGTTCTTTATCAATTTTAATTGTAATAATTGTCAAGTATCTAAGAATTTTTTGTTTCTGTCGAAGAAGATAAAGGAGAGGAGAGGATAGTCATTGTGTGCCGTACGAGTCAATTGAAAATGATAATTAATTAACGATCGTTTGTGATCATCAGTCTAACGAATATAGAAAACGTACACCACTCTGTCGCTAGTATTAAATTTATTCGCTTCTTCTTGTGATACAAAAATGCAGCACAAAGCAAGAAACCACGAAAAATGTTTAATACAAAAATCGTCTATTGTTTATTATATGTTTTAAGTGTATTTCATCTCTTTTTTTCTCTTCTATAGTATACAACGCCTAAGTAGGTGTGCACATGCCGTAGTTCGAATTGAATGAGTCAATGAGCAAAACAATGTCACACTAAATTAACCAAGTCGAAATGTGTAATGATATGTCTTGTTCATTTTCCTTTCGAGACGTTCGGTATAAATGCGAACAAGTGTGCACACAAAATGATTGAACTAGCTAGGTTTAGTTATTCTTTTTTTTATTATTATGATGATTGTTTCAGCGATTTTTTTGCCCTTCTTTTGTATCTCGTTCTTCGTTTGGTTCTATTCCAATAAAATTTTTAAATGCTTTTATTATCATAGTCTCTTTGTGTTTTTTTTTATTTATGTGTCTTGAGTCGATTCTACTGTGCCACACCGAGTGTAATGAAAAAAACAAAGAACAAATTCAAGAATGAAAACGATGACGAAGTCATTCAGCACTTAAATTGGGTCAAAATCTTTGAATCAAATTAGAAATTGTACACGTTCAATGATCGCGCATGTGGCAAATGATGAGTGAGCGCGAGCTCGCATATATTATTCGTTTTTATTCATCAAACACCAGTTCATGTCATCGTTGACATTGCACTCGCCTCGAATATATATTCCGTCAGTGCGATGCATGACAAATTTTTCTCCGAGACTTTTTTTTTCTTCTTCCATTTGAGATGCATGGAATAGTTGTAATGCGTAAGCTGTGCGCCTCTTTAATTAAATGTCATTTCGAGCGACGCGTGTTTTGAATTCGTAAGTACCATTGAATCAGTTTAGCTTCATTTCAAAATGCATTTAAATGAAATTCCGTCAAATGAAAATAAGTATACAAGTCAAGTGTGCGTCATTCAATTCTCGGAACTGAGAAAAAAAGTTCCGATTTCGAACGGTTGTAGCGATCGATTTTAAAACGCTTCTAATTTTCACACAATAAACACATGTTCAATAGCAGATTAGTTGTATTTCTCTTTCTCTTTCTAATTCTCTTTCATTCAAAAGCCCTTTTTTCCATTCGTTACAGCGTCGCGTATGTGTTTTCATAATCTCTATTTGATTTAAATGTTTACGCGCTAAGGCTAAGTACTCGTTTGTTTTGGTTTCAGATTCATGATTTATGACTTTCCTAAGTGAACTTTTTACTTCAATGATCCATCCATTCACTTGGATTGTTGCCCGACTATGCTGTATGAAAGCATGTATTATTTCATAAGAGTTCACATTTTCTGCATACAAATTGTATGTTTGTGTTTATGATTCGAGTTTTGTTTTGTTGCTTTCAAACAAGAAGATTGGCTTTTCTCTCTCTCTCTCTCTCTCTCTCTCTCTCTCTCTCTCTCTTCAACGTGTAACAGTTTCGTTTTCAACATATAAATCGTTTTTCACATAAAGTGTCGGTTTCTCCTCCAAAAATGGTACAGTTTGAATAGTAGCAAAATGTCTCGGAAATTACACCATTTTGAAATTTTGACAGTCAAATAATCGATGTTGCCTCGCCGAATGATTCATTATTGCTGTGGATAGATAGAACTCTGTTTTTGTAAATGATCCACTCTCTATCGCTTGATAATTTGTTATTATCTATTAAATATCGTGAATATATTCACGTTCCATTCCATGGTTTGTATCACTTCGTCGCAATATGACACACAATTTCCGAAAAAACAGAAAAATTTCCAATTCCGCCCCTTTGAAGAGTATTAAAAATTCAATCAGTTACACTCCGACTGCTGACATGGATATTTCGTATACTTTGTTCTTATTGTTCCTATTGGAATGGCCATTGGCAAATGGTGTTGTGAAAACTTGGATTAAAGATCGAAGCCAACCTTGGAGCAACAGTGATGCGGGCCAAAATGAATGCAGCAAGTCAAAAGCGATATTCAAAAAAGAGCTCGAAGGATTTCTCTATATGGACAGTCAACAGCATCAATTGCAAGAGGTCATTTTGCCATCGGATGGCGCAATTGTGTTGCCAGCTCAATCGAATATTCATTTTTCCAATACAAAGAAATGTGAATCGGATAACGAGGAGGCGAATATGTTGGGTAAATCAAAACGATTATGGTTTTCAACGTCCAGTTGGCAAACTGAAGGTGAAGGTGTAAATGTTGCAAAGCCGGACGTTTACAAGATCCCGTGTGAGTGTGATATTGTGGAATTTCCGAGTGAAAATATTTATGCCGTTGATTTGCAATATGTTGACGAAATTGTGACCCAAAAAATACTAATCAATGATCGAACCGATAACATTGAACAATTCCTCGAAACAACGCTCGGACAGAAAATGTTTTTGAATTCCGAAGCCGTTCATTTCTCCGAAGGTTTTTGCACACCACAAAAGTATTGTGGATGTCATAAACCAATTCGCTTCCGGAAATACACCGAATTGGTGTGTGAAGAAGAGTCAAAATACTGCAAAGAACCGCATTGCATTGATCCAATCAAACCGGAGGGTCATTGTTGCCCGATCTGCGGTGCAATCTTAAACTTCAAAGTTGACGACACTTGCGATTTTAATATGACTAGCATGAGCGAAGTTGGGCGGAAATTGACACGTTTTCGTAATAGAAAATATGCGGATCGGCTGCATTACTATGCGGGAATGATACCGGGCAAAACGAGAGACGAGAATTTTGTGCAATTAGTCGTAGCTGAAGTGGATGATTATACGGGCATTAGCGTTGAATTCATGGATTACCTGACGAAGGATCCACGGTTTCAAGGTAAAGAAAATGAAAAATCATGCGCTGGAATATGATTGATTTATAATTGAGTGTTGAGCATATAATTAAGAGATTATCTCGAAAATGATGCATGAACTGGTTGAAAATGTGAAATTTGAATATGGAAAAGTTCAATGTTTGGCCGAATTTCGTTAATTTTTCTCACTTAATTTCGTGTTTTTCTGGGTTTTTTTCGGTGCCATCAGTGGACAAATACCGTCACCGAGTATCATCTGGAGACCGATATGTACGAGGCGAATCATCAGCGTTCCTAATCATGTTCTGGTCGCTTTTATTCGTTTTATCCGTTTACTCTGTGCTATATGTACACTATGTCCGTGAGCCAAAATACGAAACTTGGGTACCAATAAGTCGATTGAATTTGCTACGTCGTTCGGTAGCATTTGCAAGGTTCGAAAATCGTCATAATGAAGACGACAATGGCACAATTGATGTTCGTATGCGATACGAGAGTGGCGATGATGCGGATGAAAAACCAGTAAATGATTTCAATAATCCCATGTATGAGCAGGTGACATTAGGTAGTGTCGAAACGGAAATGTTGCAACCGGCCACTACATCAACGTCTCCATCGGCCGATGAAGCGGGCACACTAAGCACCGACATTAAGCTAGTGAACATCAGTTTGAATGCAATCGACGAGTAAAATCGCAAAACATGTAGCAAAAATCCAAATTATATACCATTTGTAATTAACAATAAAGCTGTTCAGCCATTAACCAAGGCATTCGCTATGGTTTTGATTCCCAAAACGACAATAATTTTCATTAATTAGCATGTTTCCGTCGGCAGATCGACATTAGCAGAGCGGCGGCGGCGGCGTGTGATCAACTGGTGTTTTATTCGTGATTTTCATGATGATTGTGAGGCGCTTGCACTCGTGCCAACAGGTGGTATTTTTTTCTCAGTCTTAATCAGTTCATTTGATCTTTGGCAAGACAGAAAGCATAGTATAACTTTCAAATATTAACAAAAATGAAAATAAAATTCAGTGTCATGCAATCAATGTTCGTACCATTGCACCGGGAATAATAATTTGATTGTTTTCAGAAAAATGTGGAAAAAAACACATTGAATGCGTGTTCAAATGAGTTATTATGGAGATATACAAGTAGAATAGAGGAACTTTTTGTTTGAATTGTCGCTCGACGCGAATGAATTGATACGTAGTAGTCTCGAAAACACGAAACGATGGAAAACTAATAGAGGGCTAGAGAAAAAAATCAATGAAATTGTAGTAGACACAGTTGACTCATTGAAATGTGTGTAATTTTTTCCCTGTCTAGATTGAAAATCATGCAGAAATGCTGTGACGTATAGCCAGCAGCTTCTAATTGCACAACTCATTAGTAAGTAGCCAAATGCGTACAACATCTCACATTACATTGGAATTTCACAACAGTATTTCATTTCTAGTTAGATGCTGTCACTTTGAAATCAAACTGAAATCCAATACAGTCACTGTTGGTTCCATATTTCCACGTCGTTCCAGTTGTACGATCTAACACATGCACACAATCTCACTCTCACACACGACGTCAGTCAGTCACAAAGTGAGAAAAACATTTGACAAAAATTACGATTGTTTTGCACTCGTTCCAATATATATCTCGCATCGGATCATATTCGATGATATTTTTATGGCTGCATTCGTACTAATCGCATTTAGTATCAGTGTTGATGTTTATAAAGTTGGCGTACGTTGTCTCGAATCGGGATTTTCTGTGACAAATATAATAAATGCCTTGAAAGATATCCACGACGGTGTACGGGCTGAAAAGTATTTGCAGTGCATTGACGAAATCTATGAGAATAGTGAATTTCATTCGATCGGCATTGAATGTGTAATTTGTCGCGGTCGCGAAAAAATCAATCGAACCAATATGATTTGCAATAATGAAATTGAAAATGCGTTGGGTGTTGATGGATGCGAAGAAGCATTTGAAGTGATATCAAGGCAGGTGAGTAAAAAGTTATGTGTTCATTTCTATTCGTAATCTATTGCGCAAAATATCAATACCCAACAATAATAGCAAGTCAATTCGACTGACAGCATAATTGACATTCAAACAGCTATAGCTACGCACAATAGAGTGAGGTTATCTGGATAAATAGGAAAAAAGTTTTGACAGCTGCTCTCTTTGTGTGTGCGTGCTTGCGTGTTTGTGTGAAATACGAATTCTGTTTTATATGTAATAACAGTACTTTACGGATTGAATACCCAAAACAATGAAACGTGTGTTCGACCGTGTGCGATTTTGCGCTATTGCGTTCGTCGACTAGCTCGCACTGTAAGAAAATACACTGTGTCTGGATCTATCGCTTCGTGTCGTCGTCGTGTGTATAAAATACACTCATATTTACTTATATACCTCATTGATTGTGCTTAAGGAATTCTTTTTTCATTCGTACTCTTTTTTGTACTGCTGTCACTGCAATATCAACAAGCTGTCCATAACAAACACTCGCATTTTTATTTCGTTCGTTGTGTGTAGTTCAATTCGATTTGTATTATTTTTGCACGATTAGCTCATACGGGTGTAGAGATATATATATATAACGAATAGCACCTAAATTCATTAACGTATTTTGTCTTCTTCGTTTCTTTTTTCTGGTCTTGGTTTCATTTTGCTTTCGTTAGTTTCGTATTATTTAATATTATTACTCATAATAGCACACCCAAAATTGAAAAGAAAAAAAATCTCACGCCTCATTGAAGTCAGTGACAACATCGAAGCGTTATCATTGAAATTTAGTTTGCGTGTTTGCTTTGCGAATATTTGATTTGTTTCGTTCAATCCGGTTGCCATAGACCAATCGCTTGTTACATTTTGTTTTCAGTTATAATCAGTATATTGTACACACACAAAAAAACCCGAACACTCCAAATTGTTTCAAGACAAAGTCATTTTTTTGCTTAATATCATTTTTAAGTTCGAAATATGCGCACTTTGAATTTATTTTGCCAAAAATGTGTGGTGTAAAGATTTTTCAAGCACTTTTTGGTTGTTGTTCACATCAAAGAGAGCATCGTGTATGTAAAATTCCTATGTTTTTTATTTGTTTCAAAGAAATACAATTCATTGCTTTGGTTGTAGGATTTGGCCTATCACCAATCGAAACCGAATAGAAATTAAAAATACATTTGTTTGTGATGATCCAATGTGAAAAAACCAGTTTCTTTTAATCATAATATTTTTGTGTCGTTTTACCGTTTCAGTCTTCGATAAGTGAATCGCAATCGAGATTGGTTTGCGGAAATAATGCTGCATTCAACTTTGAATCACCCGTTGACTTGCGACTGGGTACCAGCATCTATGTCAGCGGAATCATTTTGAAAAACTGTGAAGGGTAAGTTTGGACGATTGCCAATTTTATTCGAATAAGTAAATGAATTGAGTGCAGTCACTTGATTTTTGGAGAAAGACCTAAACAAAAAAAATCGATTCAAAATGTGCAAGTTCTTAAGATATTTCTCATTTTTTGTTCCACTCAGATTTGCAATAAATATGACACTAGGGCACACGCACAATGACATTGCATTGCACATTAATCCCAGATTGCCACAAAATTACATAGTGCGTAATTCGAAGATAAATGGGCGGTGGGGAAAAGAGGAGACGACTGCATCACTGCCATTTAAATTGAAACGTGGAGAACGGTTTGCCATGCAAATTCTTGTGACGGAAGACACGTACTTGATATCGGTGAATGGATTGCATTTCACGAATTTTGCTCATCGCATCCCATACCAAAGAGTCACTTGTGTACAGGTCAAAGGAGATGTTAGCGATGTAATGGTTGAACATTTCCCTATTATGGTAAGGAACCTTCAACCGTTTTTTTTTAATTTCATGTTGCAATTTTTTCTCTGAATTTCTCTTTCTTACGAATTTCATTTTGTTTTGGAATTTTTTAATGATTCATAGCAAAATCTCACTATGATAGTGATTCATTTTGATATCAATATAAATTTTCTCAAACTAAAACGATAATTGTGCTCAATGCTAACTGAATGAACTCATTTTTACTCTTGTTTATATTTTCAGGAGTATCCGAATCGTTCTGAGCAAACCGATATAATTCATAGTATCGACCTTGTTGAATCATTTGATAAAGCTTTAATGAAAACGAATACGGAGCTAGTAAGTAACTCAGTTAAACCTTATCAAAATACAATCAATCAATTGTGCCGTATTCCAATTAAATGCTTTTCGATAACTCAAATTGATTCCATATTTTAGGTGATGCCATACTATGGAAGATTACTGAGTAAATTTATCAACGGTTCTCGATTGCATATTGTTGGTCGTGTCAAGGTGTTGCCGTATTCGTTCTACATAAATTTACAACAGGGTGACATCATCTGGCCGCATCCATCGATTCCGTTTCATTTTAATGTGCGTTTTACGACAATCGGTGGCAAAAATGTGATAGTAAAGAATTCTTGGCTAGATGGCCGTTGGGATCGTGAGGAACGTAGTGAAATCCATACTGATTTCATGCCAAGCCGAATATTTCATCTCGAAATCGTTTACACGTCTGATGCCTACCATGTCTTTCTAAATGACAAACTAATTACTGAATTTCATAAGCGCACCGACCCCAGTCTCGTCGACACGGTTTTCATTTACGGCGACATTAAGCTGAAATATGTGTCTCAGGAACCAGAGAAAGGTCTTTAAATAAGTACTTTCGGCCTAAAATAACCAAACCCCTTTTTTTCTATAGTCGAATAACAAAATTATTACACTAAAAATAGCTATCTCTTTGGGCTTCGATTATGATTTTGAACAGCTAAAAAATATTTTCTCTAAGATATTCAAAGCAATCACCAAATATGACAATAAAATTGTGTTTATATTCTTGAATGGATGATGTTAGACGGCATTCAAATGTCAAGCAAGAGTGATGACACGCTCAGAATATTCTGATATACTATCAAAATTTATTGTGTATGTTTATACAAAATGAGCTCAAGTTGTATTTGAGTTTATATTTAAATGTTTTGTTTTCTCGTTTCAATATGTGAAATAAAAACTTCTTTGAAGATTAACATGTGCAATTGTATTTATTGGCTTAGTTTTTAATTAACTTTATTCGATTCTAATGCTATTGGTTTGATACGAATGTAGCAGTGTAACCATGTTGTACGAAAATGGATTCAAGGCAGGCAAATAATCTTCTGAAGACGAGTGAAAAACTCTCATGAATGAACCTCAGTACACTTTATTTATTTTTATGATCTAATACAGACCCTTCACTTGGGCCACAATAAACAATTGGACAATCACTATAGAAACACACACGGTTTGGTAATAAGATTTGTTTTTATTATCGATCTGCTTTGAATAAATTTCACATATTTTAACTAAAAAACGCATCGATGGCAATTAGCAAATGCGTACACAAGTATTGACAAGTATCTAACGACATGGAACCCATTCTAACAAAACGTCTCCGTATTTTTTGCGTTCTGGAAAAGAAAAAAGCCATGAATTAGAATTTGGTTTCAAGAGAGTATTTCCTTTATGAAAAAGAAATGAAATGCAAAGTTCAATCCAATCGAAATTCAATCGAAATAATTGCCTCTAAACACAAATTGACTTTGAATCAACTGAAATTGTACACATTGTTTCAAAATCAAGCGCCGTACTACATCCATTGCGATACATACAAGACATTTTGTGTTTTCATTCAAAATGAATCAATTCATCTCAATTGGATTGAATCTCTATTTGCAAAACGATTCGAAATATGAAAGTTGTGTGGTACCTGGTGGTGGAAAGTCTTCTGGATGTAGTTGAACGTAGTGTCTCAGAACGGCATCACGATCGGCCCAATAGTTTCGTCGCCAGTTCAAAATCGATTGCCCAACAAACGCACCAACAGCAAAATAGATTGGATACAAATAAGCACCTTAAAATATCGATAAAAATCGCATTAAAATCCAAGTTTTCAGGTGAAAAACCCTTTGAACATTCATTATTCGATTCCATTAAACTTTACCAGCTAGTTTAGGTCGTCGATAAGTCCAGTTTCTAACTCCATGAACGCCAGCTCCCATCAAACCGAACCAAAATTGAATACCATACGCTGATAATACACTCGGTGGTTCAGCGTTTCTACTGTCCAATAATTCTAGGGCAGTTTTGCCAAACTTTATTTCCGGGATATCCTTTGGATCGGGCTTCATCGTTTCGTTCTTTTGTTCAAACACTAAAATTTCTGCTGCGACAATGTTTTTCTTCAGGCAGACCGATTGAATTACGTAAAAAATAATGTTGACAGATAAAAATGTGAGGTTACACTTCACATGAACGGAATGTGGTAGTAGAGTGTAGTTTGAATGCGAGAGTGGAATGAGATAAAAATGGAACTGGTGGCTCTATATTTGAGCGAAATTCGAAAGGATTTTTTTTAAATTTCGTTCGCAATTAGATTATTATCAATTCAAAATGTATCGAAATTTGTGATTTTAGTAAAAAAAAATTTAAAATCAATTTGATTTTATTTTGTAATCGAACGTAGATTATGTGTAGTTATGGCACAGTGTATCTTAGACGCAAACCAACGACGCACTACCGCCATCCCATCATTTGTCACGAGTAAACAAAAATGGAAACGCCATTTTTGGATGGAAGCGCCCTAATAAAATCCAATAATTTTCATTAAAGATCCAATAGTCGCGTTTGATTTGCTTCTTTAAATGGAAAATAATCATTATTTCCGCGTACTTCTTCGCATTTATTCTCAAGCTGCGAGATGCAATGAAGAATATACAATATGCATCCAATCAACAAGCGTGTTCTTGTCTGATTAGACCTTTATGCCGTGGATAAGAAAACACTTTAGAAAAAAGTGCCCGGAGGCCGATTTCTTGAATAATAACAACAATTACATTCAGCGAAGATGAGTAGTTTTATTCGTTGCTGTATCGTGTTGCATTTTGCCACAATAAATCATTCACCGTGACAATTCGATAAACTGAAAGTGTGTGCGCAAATAAAATGCATGCGTAGATTTAAAAATGACGACTGAAAATGAACGGAAAAAAAGCGAAAAAGACAACAAAATAAACAATAACAACAGCGGCCAAGAGACGCATATTTCAAGAGCAATTTTTGTGGCGTGTATCGGAATTCACCAATTATCCACGCAAAATGGAAAACGAATGAACGAACGAAGCAGCGTGGACGGGGGGCAGTTGAAAAAAAATGCCACATTTTACAACTATTATTAATTTGGAATCGATGACTGCGATTTATCGAAATTGATTCGGTTGGAAATATTTGTGTGCGATGCCCCGGAAAAAAGTGTGTATGGTCGCGCGCGCCATAGTGTGTATCACATTGATGATTTTGACCGACAGTGAAAAAAAATTGAACCCGCAAAATATGTTTGTATGGCGAAAAAAAACGATGACGACGACGACAACATGGAAGCATGCAAAGCAATGGAAATCATCACACAAAAAGCGAGGAACGTCAAGGATCGGCACAACAACAACATCGGGGATAAAAAAAAAACAACCAGAAAAATCGCAGCATTTTATCGATTTATTTATTCGCGTTTCATTCTCTCTCTCTCTCGTTTTTCCATGTTACGTTCTGTGTTTGTTGCCCGTGCTCCGTGTTCATTTTTTCTCTCGCTTCTGCTCTCATATCAAAATCATGGTATGCGCATATTACAATAATTTACATAAATTTCCTTTTATCGCCGAAGCTTTTTGCCGAGTACAAAAACACAAAATATTTATTCATTTATTGGTTGTGTTGGTGGGTTTGTATTTTCAACTCTGTTTTGTGAGTTATATGCGTTTGTCTGTGTGTGTGTGAGCAAGTGGATGCCACGACAATAATAATTTGCCGTTTTGCTGATATATTCCGAGACATACGCGCAATTTTTATATCGAACTATATAAACAGAATTGATGGAATCAAAGACGCGCTTGAAATGAAAATGAGAACCAACCAAGCAGCCATCACAACAACGAAACACACAAAACGAAACCATCTTTTGTCAATAATTTGTGTACATCAAGGCCGTAGGCCCAAAACTTCTTTAAATTACCGTCTGACAGATAAAATATTCTATCGAAAACTTTGGCGCACACACACACACACAACAAAACGAAATACACCCAAAATAATTAGCCCATTTCATGTTTGAATTGAAGCGCGCAACAAACAAAATGATTTAAATATATTGGCAATATGTTAGAGTTTCTTTTTTCTTTCAATATAAATGCATGTGTTGGCTTTTTTTTTCTTTCGTTGGTTGAATTTTAGATTTTTCGGCATTTATAATATTCCACTCGTCCGTAATTTATTCACGCACCAACGAGAGAAAAAAAAGAACAGCGCACATTGAAGCATGCATCAAGATGCAATCGGTGATCGACTGCTTTATATTCAAGACTTGATATAATACACATCTCGTTTCAACTAATCATTTTCGTCTGCCAATCAATTTTTTTTTTGTCTGTATTTCGTCTCTTATTCTAATGCAGGATTTATAATTTTTGCACGACCATCTAATTTCCATGCAAGGAAGAGCTGTGATTTATGTGGTTTCACATTGGTTTCAGACATTGGGTCTGCCATTCGCCATTTTTAATTATATTCATCATATTTTGCTTGGTCTTTTTTACAAATAGAATGATTTTCAGTCGAAAAAATCGGCGTTTTCTGTAACAAAAAGCAGTCTATTTGGAGAAAATATATGTAAAATCCTAGATTTGATTTGAAGCTTTCCATTTTTAGTGAAATTCCCACACTTTTATCAAATTTATCCATTTTAAGCCATTATAACCGCTTTTAGCTATGTTCAACATAGCTTTTGATGATTTTTCGCCGAAATTCAATTGTTTCGCATTCAGTGGAAATTCACTGAAAATGAAGTATTTTCGAACAATTTCCATACATTCTTGCTGATTTTAAGCAAAATACCAGCTGCGGTGGTACGATTCGGGAAAATTGTTTGTCCACAAAATCTAAGAACTAGCAAGCCTTCGTGTGTGTGTGTGTGTGTGTAGTAAGTGTGTTAGCATCGGAAATAGCAAATACCATTAATTTGAGTGAGTAAACGGTGTTGTGCTGGTATCGCATCTTGTTTCCGAAGTGCCATTTATAGTTAGCTAACCGCAAAAATACAACACAGGAAAAATGTGAGTGTGTATGTTGTTACGAAAACAATGTTATTTCGCTGGTGGACAATTTTGCCATAAATTTCCAGGGCATTATTTAAAGATGCGAAGGTATTTGGGCAAATGCTTTCAAACGATGCGATTTTCTCGATAGAATTTATTGTCATGTTTTATGACTTGTACAGTGTACACACACTCACATTCAGTTCAGTTTCTCTATCTCCGTTTCTGGATGCACAAAATGCAATGGCGATATATGTTGCACGGGCTGAAACGAGAGAGAGAGAAAGAGTGGAAAATGTTGCAATTTTGCCAGGCGAAAACCTTCAAAAGCCAAAATTATGTTTTGATCAAATTTATTTATCTTTTGTGTGTGCGCGATGAGCGCATTTTCGAAATTACCTATAACGATGCGAGGCATTTATTACACCGTAAGTAGATTGAAATTATGCACAATGTGCACTCATACTACGTATTCGGTTGTAGCGTTGCATCGGGACGAACGGGCAAGAGAGCAGCGAGAGGGAGAGAATGAGAAAAGGAGTACTTTCAATGGGACTGCATCGCAATTTGAGGGTTTTAAATGTGAGTCTAAGCAATTTCAAGTGAAGCTATTTTCGGTCGTCGCAAAACATCAGCCCAACCAGAAGCATGTACACAATATTGCCGAGCCACCATTATTCGCATAATGTCGATATGTGCACTGTACATAGGTATTCAATTTTTTTTCTGCTCGCGTCCTCGAGTCCGAGTTGCTTAAGTGTCTCACACTCCCGGGCGAAAGAAGAAATGATTCTGTTGTCCGATATGGAAACGATGTGCCGCTTGTAAATAAACACCAAACATCTGCACAATTTCTATTTGTTTGCCACTTTTCTATCTCTGTGTGTATGCTTTTCTGCGTGCATTGTTTTTGTGATAGATGAGATGCGCTTCTTTTCCATTCCAGCAGCTCACAAACACATATTCGTGTCGGCTCCTCCGCGCGCTCGCTCGCTTCTCTGATCCGCTGCACTGTGTGTGTCGCCCATGCCCCAAAAACATGCAGCACAACATTCGCACAAGCGACAACATTAAACTAGATAATGTGTGCAAATGTCTCCTTGTATGGAAATTCTTGTCGTTGTTTTCCCCGAAAATGCATTTGCAAAAATAGCAACGCAAAGGCAGTGGAAAAAACAACACATTCACTCGCTCAAACACGCTCACTTAGACACATACACACACATACACACACACTGGCAACAACAATTCATAGTGTGCTCTCATTCTCTGACCGCTCATCCGCAAGTTTAATATAATGGAATATTTTATAAAACTCTTTCCATAGCTATCACTAGAGGCACTCATACATGTGCGAATGAAACGATCGTTCGCTCATAAATGCACACACATCTTGGCCACGAAATTGTTTGAGCTCCCCGATGCACTGACGGCATGCACTGCATAGATAATAACAGCACCTTCGCTTACAAAACTGTCGACCAAAGCTCAATCCCTCTTGTCTATCTCTGCCGCTCCCTTGCTCGTTCCGTTCACTCGCTCTCGCATGCCGTATGAATTTATATTTAAAAAAGGTGGTAAGCAAGTTTTACGTATGCTTCCGTTTCTCGAATAAATTTTCATCGTAGTTCGGAGTTTCGAGTGCAACACACACACAGAGAGAGAGAGAGAGAGAGAGAGAGAGAGAGAGACCAAGCGAACAAAAGAGAGACCGGAACGCAATTCAGTCAATGACGAGGAACGTAAATAAGTATTTGATACAAAATTCAAAATATGTCTACTGTTTATGCGCACAGCTCGTAATGCCTGGCACGTTTTTGTTTTGTGCTCTCGAGTGAACGCTGAATATGCGATTGGGAAAAACATGGGAAAAAGCTTTAGAAGAGTTTATCTATCGTCATTTGTTTTTCGAATCTCTTGAAGCTTATTTCGAGTTTGGGCCATTGCTACATAGTTTTCATGGAATGGATGGACGGGGTAGAGGTGCTCTGTTTTATCTTGTATTTTCAGCATTTTAAACGCAATGAAATAATTACTGTGATTCGCTTGCATTCATACCAGTAAATCAATAGACTTGAAATAGGTAATTCACTTCACTGGTTCAATATATGACATATCGAACCCAATGCACC